GAAGGGTCGTGGGCCTAAGGTCGACTCTTCCACCACACAAAACCGAGACCTGCACAACTGTATCACTCTATTTCTAATCAGACAGAGTTTTACCGTTCAGTAGGTTCGGATTCGGGTTTCATTTGACTCCGACCGTTGCTCTTATGTACTGCGCCCCAACAAACCTGCCAGGCATCAAGGATGGCCGTACAGTTCGAGTTCCAGCACATCGTAGCGTAGGACCACACAATCGGTAGAAGCGATTGGAGGGATCGCATAACGGGCAGGAAAGCGTGACTACAGCGAAAATTGGCGGGAGGACTGTGCCCAGATGTTAGTGGAGGTCCACCCACCGCACAGACTTGGTGCTGCACTGTTTTCAGACTGCCCCGGCGGTGCTTTCTAGGGGGGTGATTGTGGAGGTGTCTGGGACCCTGGGACCATCCCACCTCGGGCACTTCGCTCATCAGCATTTCTAGGTTTTATTTTCAGTCAGTACTTTCCAACACGAAATGTGTCCTGGGGAGTGTGGTTTTGGTGTAGGTGTTCTGAATTGGACTGCTCCACCGTCCGGCAGCACTGGAAGATTGATGAACAGTGTAAGGTGTCTATTGACCAGCCAGCCAAAAGCGCTGGAAAAAAGGGCCGTATAGGGTATGGAGTGAGGGAGATAGGAGAGTTTGTGCAGACTTTTCGGGCCTTCCACCGCCAATTCGTTTTTCACTCGCCGTGTCGTGAGCGTTCTGTTCACAGCAATAGCCTGGCATCCAACTCTTTTTGCTGTACAGTATCTAGTTTTCGCTTCTACGATAGTTTCGCTCCTATTATTTCGCTCCTAGATAACACACGCGGTTGATTCCATTCCTTGGTTCTCTGTCTGGGTTCTAGCGTCCTTGCTTCCTGTATGCTTACTTATACTCAATAACTCCGCGGCTCGTAGCGCCTGGAATTCCCAAGCGGTTCGCGCTCTGCTGGCTTTTGTCAGCAAACGCACCGTCCTGTCATAGCAGCATAATAGTATTCTGGTTTCCATCGGCCGCAGTGTTCTTGTAGGTACGACCGCAGGAGGTGCGGCGCCTTCGGTCAGGCTAATTTCAGGCAGCTGGTGGTCGTCACCGCTGTAAGAGAGTGGTTGCGAGACATGTGCATGCCTTCGGGACCAGATACGGCGGGGCAACGCAGCAAATGGGACCCGCTGCTCTGTTTCTTCGATAATAAAGCCATGGCGCCGGGGAAAAACTAAACCACTTCGTGACTCCAGCCGTCTGCTCGTTCAGCACCGATTTATCGTTTACCAATGGTTTAGGTTTTAACTTACGGCGTTTCTCACTGGCACTTGCGTCCCTACCTCTCCGAACTGCACTTGCTATATCCCCAGGATACTTGCGCCTGGTTCTTTTCCGCCTCATCCGCCACGTTATTCGCGATGCCGCGCCAGCAGCCACCCCCCTCCCGCCTGCAAGTCATCTATCAAGGTTCCGCCTCTTCCCCCGACGGCTCCATCCGCGCGCAGCCGCAGCCCTTGCGCCCCAACTCTTCCGCCATCAAGCGCATGGGCGGACTGGGCCGCGCTGTTTCCCTCGGCTGCCCCCAATCAACCATAAGCGCAGGCCCAGGTTCCGGCGTGGGGATAGGTTCCGCTGGTCTCGGTTGCTCTGTGGGAGGGGTTTTCGGCGCAGGCGCACCAACCGCCAATCCTGGTGCTTCCGCCATGGGGGCTGAGGTTCCGCCAGGAGCAGGGTCCGCGGGAGCTGCTGCGCTCGGCGTGAGGCTAGCGCCTGGCGGAGCCATCCCCGTGCTGGTCCGCCAATCCCTCTGCATCCAGTTCGTCTTGGACCCCTGGACCGCGCGCATCCGCTGCGCCAGCGCAGGCGCGGAGCTCGCTCTGGGGTATTCTTCCGCGGAGTTTGACCGCCTGTCGCTCTGCCACCTCGTGGATAGCCTCCCCCTGGCGGACTGGCTGCAGCTGGTTGCGCCGCTGGCGGCGGGAGACGAGCTAGGCGCCAGGTTTAACATGAGCCTGGTGGGGAAGGGGCGCGCGTTTGGCGCGGAGGCTGCTGCAGGGGGGGAGGGCCGGGGGGCGGGGGGGGGGGGGGACTGCTGGCGGAGGAAAAGCGGGACCGTTTGGCGGAGGTCAAAGGGGCGCGGGGGGATCGTTTTGGGGAGAGCAGCAGCAACAGCAGCAGCAGCAGCAACAGCAACAGCAATCGCAGCAGCAGCAGCAGCAGCAGCAGGTCTTGCTTCCCGGGAAAGCCACCCCCCGTTTGGGCGCTACGCGTTTCAGCGCCGGCGGCGGCAACAGGAGCGGGCGGCTGAGCGGCGCTGCTGGGCTGTTCCCCCGGTCATCGTCCACGACGGAGCCCGACCTCGCCCGCTCTGCCTCGTGCAATGTGTTCGACGCCACGGACGACGACTCCTCCTTTGACTCCGGCCCCGAGGATGGGAGCGGCAGGGGCGCGCGACAGGACCCCGCGTGGGACGGCTCGCTGAGGAGAATTCGGAGCGGCGGGGGGGAAGGAGGGGGGAGAGGGGGAGGGGGAGGGGGAGGGGAGGGGGAGGGAGGGGCAGTGGGGATATCCCGCGGGTGGGGAGTGCGGGGAGCTGGAAGGGGATGGAGAGTGGGGGAGAGATGGGGATGGGGATGGGGGCAGGTGAGGAGGTGATGCGGGAGATAGCAGTGAGTGTGGATCTGCAGTTTCTGGAGGTGAACGGAGAGAGGGAGCTCGTGGCAACGGCTCATGAGGTTCCTGCTGGTGGCAACGGTGCAGGGGAAAGTGGCGCCCCCACATTCCTGCAGCAGCCGCAGCAGCAGCAGCAACAGCAGCAACTGCAGCCCCTGCAGCGGCACAGCAGTCAGCAGCTGGTCGCAGCGTCTGCTGCTCCGTCCAGTGGGGGATTAGCTGGCGGCGGTGGCGGGTGGGGATCGGGAGGGTACGGCAGGGAGAGTGCGTCGCCCAACGCACTCGGCAGCACCAGGGAGGAGACCACAGGGCTCGGGATTGCAGAGGGAGGGGGAGGGGGAAGCGGAGGCGGAGGGGGAGGGGGAGGGGGAGGGGGGCGGTATTCCCCTGGGTGGCAGCAGCAGCAGCAGACGGCAGCGCCCCCGTCGCGTCTGAGCAAGTGGCTGAGCCTGGACGTGGGGCTGGAGAAGGTGTCTCTGGAGGGGTTTGATGCGGTGGAGGACGGTGACAAGGCTGCAGAGTACTATGGTGCGACGTCGACGAGCAGGAGGGGCGTGAGAGGGGAGCGGGGGGGCAGAGATAGGAAGGCGGCACTGGATGGCCTGGGAGGGGGAGCGGGAGGGAAGGGCTTGTCGAGACGGTCTCGCCTGGGTTCTGGTAATCCCTTGCCCCCATGCTCTCTCTCTCTCTCTCTCTCTCTCTCTCTCTCTCTCTCTCTCTCTCTCTCTCTCTCTCTCTCTCTCTCTCTCTCTCTCTCTCTCTCTCTTTCTCGATCTCATTAGGGGTACAGCAAAGGGCCAACCTAGGTCCTAGAACCTGAGACCCCTAAGGGAGCTCGAATGGTCCTCGTGTTGGTGATTCGCCTGAGAGTTACATGCGAGCAAACCCGCATGCGTGTGCGTGCTAGGCAGGACGAATTCTGATTCTGATTCTTGCTCCACCGAGCCACTTATTCGCGTCCCTGAGAAAGGAACACTTCCAGCCAGTTATTCCCCTCACAATCGGTCCATCTCCCTGCCTTCCCAGATGGCAGCGGCACGATCTCTCCCCCCCTGCTCTCCGCTGCTGCTGAAGGACCGCTTTGGCTGCCCAACCCTGCTCTCAGGTCAGCCAGCCACATGCACCCAACCCAGCCCCCCACCCTTACTCCGCTTCCCCCGTACTTCCCCTCCCTCCTCCCCTCCCTCTTCCCCCCTTTCTCCGTCCTCCCCTCCCTCTTCCCCTCCCTCCTTCTCCCTCTTCCCCTCCCTCCTTCTCCCTCTTCCCCTCCCTCCTTCTCCCTCTTCCCCTCCCTCCTTCTCCCTCTTCCCCTCCCTCCTTCTCCCTCTTCCCCTCCCTCTTCCCCTCCCTCCTTCTCCCTCTTCCCCTCCCTCTTCCCCTCCCTCTTCCCCTCTCTCATCCCCTCCTTCTGTCCCCACTCTCGCCTCTCCCAACCGTGATTGCATTGGGCGTAGTACAAGGAGAGTAGAGTAACAGAGCGAGTGGGAGAGCACGGGCAGTCGCGAGCTGCACTAGCCGTACCCTACAAACGTAAGGGTTGCACACGAGCAATGGGTGGGTAGGGAGCTATCTTGCATCCAGCAACTCGTGCCTTGTGCACTCTCCTCCGTCCTCCCTCTCTCCTACCCACCAACCAACCAACCAACCAACCCACCCACCCACCAAGCAAGCAAGCAACACACCAACGAACCCAGCAACGAACTCACAAACCAAGCAAGTAGCCCAGCAACCCCTCCCTGCCCCCTTCCCAAACCCCACCCCCTCCCCCCACTTCTCCCCCCTCCTTGTGGCATGGCAGGGACCTGCTGGACCATGTGGGGGCGGCGGTGTTTGCCATGCGCCTGAGCACGTGCGAGATCTCCCTCGCCTCGCCCACTCTCGCCTCGCTGCTGGGCCGCCCCCTCTCCTCCATCTCCGGCCGCTGCCTCAACGACTTCATCCTCCCTGACGACCTGCAAGACTTCCAGGTCCCGCCTCCTTCCCTGCTTCCCCCTCCCTCTCTCCCTCCCTCTCTTCTTTGCCACTCTTTGCCCCCCCCCCCCTCCCCCCCCCCCCACCCACCCGCCCTCCCCTGTGGACTCTCCCACTCTCTCTCACCCCCTCCCTCCCCCCCTCCCTCCCTCCCCCCCTCCCTCCCTCCCTCCCTCCCTCCCTTTCTCGCTCACCCTCCCTCCCTCCACCTGTGTCACCGTTGTCTTCCTCTCTTTTTGCTCTTTCGTTTCTCATCCCTCTTCCCTCCGTAACCGCCTCCCTCTCTCTCGCAACAACTCGCGGCAGGCGTGGGCAGCAGTGGTGTCAGAGGCAGCACAAGGCGGGCTGGCAGCTCTAGGGCATCACCACACGCACTCGCAGCCCTCGGCATCCCTCCACCAGCCATCCCAGACCCAGCAGCAGCAGCAGCAGCAGGAGCTATACCGCAAGGAGTTCCGCGTCTCCCTTCCCAACAGCAAGACCCGGCACGTCCGCCTTGCTTGCTGCCTCTCCCCGCCCTCCTTCCCCTCCTCCTCCTCGGCCTCTTCTGCCTCTGCCCTGGCTCTATCTTACTCCTCCTCCCTCTCCGCCCTGCTACCTGCTTCCTCCCTCTCCTCGGCCTCTCTTTTCGGCCCTATGGATGCTCCTGCTGCTGGTGGTACCGGTGGGTCCACCTCGGGAGGTGGTTTGCTCATGTGTGCGCTTGTGGAGTCCCCTCTTACAGTGGTGAAGGAATTGTCTCCCAAGGACCAGCTCACTCTCTCGTCCGTGAGTTCCCAACCGCACACCCAGTGAAACCTTCTTCTCCTCCGGCTGACACCTGCTGTCTGCTGATCTCCTTCTTCCTGCTGCCACCTGCTGTCCCAACTCCCCTCTCCCTAACAGCGCTTATGCTACCAGTCCTCTTCCAAACATGCCTCCCCTTGCTACCTAGCTCTCTTCGCCACTACATTCCATCCTACCTTTCCCTATACCACCACCACCACCACCCCTTCTCTCACCTTCTCCCACCTCCCTCCGCCCCTTTGTCCCCAGACTCCCCCTCCCCTCTTCCCTCTCTACCCCAGGGCCCAGCATATGAGAAAGTGCGCATCGTGGTGGAGTCGCTGGCGGTGGGTGCGGTGTGGGTGCAGCAGAGGGACCCTTTCACACGCCACCACCCTCCGCTCCCCCCTTTATGACCCTTCCCCATCTCCCTCCCTCAAACCCCCACACCTCTCCCACTCTCCCCCACTCCTCCTCCCCCCACCCTCTTTCCCCCCAACCCCCATACTCCAGGACCCGGCAGTGGAGAAGGCACGCATGGTGGTGGAGTCGCTGCCGGTGGGCGCGGTGTGGGTGCAGCAGAGGGAGGACGGGGGTGCGGCCGTGCTGCTCAACGAGCGCCTGGAGGCGCTGGTGGGGTACTCGCGCAGGCACTTCACGTCCCTGGAGGCCACGTACACTGTGCTCTTCCGCGACAAGGCCATGGAGGTGAACGAAGGGGGGAGGGGGGGTGGGGTGGGGGTATGGGGGGGGGGAGGGGGGGTTGGGGGAATTTCAAGGATGTTTGAAATGGGGCGCTGGTGTGGTGCAGGGTTAAAAAAAACGCCGTTTTTTTTTCAAAAAAATACCGTACTAAACGGTATCGAATTAAACGGCCGTTTAATTAAAAAAAAACGATGAAAAAGGTGCAAACATAGGTTGGTTAAAAGAAACGGCCGAAATTTAAAAAACAGTGTGCAAAAAAATCTGACGAAATGCGCGGATCTGGCATTTCGCCCGCCCAAATGCACGGATCTGGCACTTCTCCCACCAAAATGTGCCAGATCTTGCGTTTTTGGTGGACGAAATGTATGGATCTGATGCTTCGTCAGCCGAAATACGCAGATCTGATCGTTTGCCCGTCGAAATGAGCGGATCTCGCCTTTGGGCGGACGAAAGGTGCGGATCTGGCGGATGATTAGGCTGTCTACCAAAAGAAGAAGAAGAAGAAAAAGATGCTCTTTTAAAAATACGGCGCTTTTTTCCAAAAATTCCCGAAAAAAACGGCCGAATGATACGGACCGTATTTTCGAAAACCGTATTTTTTAACCTTGGTGTGGTGCTCCAGGCGGCACTTCACGTCCCTGGAGACCACGTACACAGTGCTCTTCTGCAATAAGGCCATGGATGCCATCCGTCCATCCGCCTATCCGCCCACCCTAATCTCATTCATCCCTCTCTCCTCTCTCAAACTCAAACCCCAGGCGCGGTCCATATTCGAGCGTGACAGGGCGAGCGGGCAGGAGGTGCCGCGCACGCATGTGATGGTGCGCAAGGACGGCGAGCGGCGCTGGGTGGAGGTGGCCAGGAGCATCTTCCCGGGCGGGGAGCTCTGGCTTGTCACTGACGTCACGCACCGCCTCGTGCTGCAGGAGCGCTTCCGCCTGCTCTTCGAACTCTCCACTGTGAGTTTTTTTTTTGGCGGGGGGGGGGGAAGGATGGAAGAGGGGAGCGGAGCGGGTGGAGGGTGGGATGGGGAGGTTAGCACATGTGGAGTGATAAGCACAGGCGGGGAGGGGAGCTGTGGCTCGTGGCTGACGTCACACACCGGCTGACGCTGCAGGAGTGATTCGTGGTTCCTCCTGCTATTCGAACTGTCCTCCACTGTGAGGGAGGGGGGAGGGGGGGGATGAGCACAGGCATCAGCAACTGCTACGACGCAGCCGTGCGTGCCGTGCCACATACCCTATGCCTCATGCTCTTTGCCATACGCCCCACGCCGCATCCCCCGTGCCCTGTTCCCCATCCTCCCCCACCCCACCCACCCCCCCCGCCACGAGGATGGGTATCTGTGGGTGGTGGATACGGGCATCAGGGACTGCAATGACACTGCTGTCATGCCCCACGCCCCCCTCCCATGGTCCACTCTACTCCCCATGCCTCACACCCCGCTGCCTACTCCCCATGTCTCACTCTCACACACCCTTCCAGGACGGGTACCTGCTGGTGGTGGACACAGGCATCAGCGACTGCAACGATGCGGCGGTGCAGTGCCTGCGACTGAGCGACCGCAGCGACCTCATCGGCAAGCGCCTCGTGGAGCTGTCCCCGCCACTGCAGCCCGACGGGCGGCGCTCCGAGGACAAGTACGAGGAGATGCACGCTCTGGCGGCCGAGCAGGGCCACACCAAGTGAGTCTCAGTGCCACAGGTCTTTTTGGGGGGGGGTCTGGCGGATGGAGCTGGGGGTCTGGCGGATGGGGCTGTGGATGTTGATTTGGGCATACGAAGCAGGCAGTGATCGCATCGGCAATCGGCTGGTGGGAGCTCGCTCCCCTCTGCAGCCTGATGAGCAGCAGTCAGAGGGCGAGTACGAGGAGGGGCACACGCTGGCTGCTGAGCAGGGCTGCATCAAGTGAGTGCCATGGCGCTGGGGGGTGTTGGGTGAGGTGTGGATAAGTTGGATGTGGGTGTTTGATGGATAGGGTTTGAGGCTGGTTCAAAACGGCTGGGGTAGTCCGTGTGTAATGAGTCGATTTTTGAGTCGACTCAAAAATCGACTCATTACAAACGGCTGGGGTAGTCGGGGGGATTTATTGGTGCGGTTGAGCACTGGTGGGTAGGGTACGAAGTGGTGTTGATGTTGCTGCAGGCAGAGTGAAAGAGAGGGGGAAAGTATGCTGGAGAACATGTCAGAAAGGGCAGGTTCCCTTACTGACTTTTTAGTCGACTCAAAAGGTTCCCTTAGTCCCACTCCCTGTCTCCCCTCCTCTCTCCCCCCCCCCTCTCCTTCCCTCCTGCTTTCCCCTCAGGTTCGAGTGGGCGTACGCAGTGGGCGACGGCTCCACAGTCCTAATGGAGGTGACCCTCACGCACGTGGTCCTTCAAGGCCAGCCCACGCTCCTAGCAGTCTGGCACGACCTCACCGACATCAAGCTCCACGCCGCAGAGCTCCAGGCCGCAAAGGAAGCAGCGGAGAAGGCTAGCCAGGCGAAGAGCCAGTTCCTAGCCAACATGTCGCATGAGATCCGCACCCCCATGAACGGGGTTATCGGGGTGGCCGAGCTGCTCCTGGGCACGGACCTTACGGCGGAGCAGCGGTCGTACCTCGAGATTATCCGGTCGTCGGGGGATAACTTGTTGAGGATTATCTCAGACATTCTGGATCTGTCCAAGATTGAGTCGAGGAACCTGGCGCTGGAGTCGCTTGAGTTCGACCTGCACCAGCAGGTGAGTTGTGGGAGTTGTAGAAGGTCAGGCCTGCAGCAGCAGGTGAGTTGTGGGAGTTGTAGAAGGTCAGTCAGACCTGCTGCACCTGCAGGAACGCCGGTTTTTGGAATTCATGTAGCCCTGCATGACCACCTGCCTCCATGTCGTCGCCCTGTCTCTTAAAGCCTGACCGGCAGGTTGCATATTTGCACTGTTTAGGTAGGTGGGCCGGCAGATGTTGATTGGCTGTCGAGGGATTGGGGTGGCGAAATAGTGTTAACGAAAATAAGCCCTCGCTAATATTTCTACTTGGGCTCTAGGGTACGAAGGCCTCGAAACTTGGCAAGAGCGCCAAGATTCGTGCCCTCTGTGTTGGCAGGGGTCCACTTTGGCAGGAGCGCCAAGTTTCCTCTCAGGCAAATTTGTTTTTGTTTTCGAAACGCAAACAACCCACTGAATGTGGCAGCCGGAATTCCCGAAACTTTGTCACTAGCATACAAAAACTGGTCGAATCCGTTTGCTGGAAAAACGTCTCACGAAATGAAGATGCCCTCAACCACCCGCAATTAGGAAAGCAGTTTTGGGCAACTACCTCCGAGCTTGTTGCATCGTGTTTTTCCGCTCCGAACTTGGCAGAGCTGCAGCACTGCCAAGTTTCGAGAGGCCCACAGCCTGCGAGGTTTGAAACGCGCTGGCGACTGCATACAGCCTGACATAGAGCTGGCGACTGCATACAGCCTGACGAGAGCTTCCCTGTTACAGGCCCTCAAGGTGCATCATCTTGAGAAAAAGTGATGTGCAACCTGCCGGTCGGGCTTTAAGCTCCACCATCCACCCTCCAGGTGACTGAAGCCCTGGCGCTGCTGGTGGAAGTGGTGGCGGCCAAGGACAAGGGGCTGTACCTGGCGGGCGGTCGGCGGATCCATTGCCGTGGTGCCACGCCATGGCGAAGCACTGTTGTTATATCTACCATCTCATCTCATGCCCTCCTCTGCAGCTGACACAGGCCCTGGCGCTGTACTGTACCTGGAGGTGGATGGGGACCCTGTTGCCGTGCTGCCCTGCCAGGGTGAACCGCTGTTGTACCTTCCTCTTCTTATGCTCTCCACTTTCCAGGTGACTGAAGCTCTGGCGCTGCCGGAAGTGGTGGCCAAGGACACGGGGCCTGGGGCTGTACTGCGCATGGAGGTGGATCTAATTGCTGTGTTACAATTCCTAACTGCTGCTATTCGCCGTCCTTCTCATGCTCTCCACGCAGGTGACGGAGGCGCTGGCGCTGCTGGAGGTGGTGGCAAAGGACAAGGGGCTGTACCTCGAGGTGGAGGTGGAGGAGGGTGTGCCACAGATGGTGGTGGGCGATGCAGTGCGGTTGAGGCAGGTGCTGCTGAACCTCATCTCCAACTCCATCAAGTTCACCGACACGTGAGTGCCTGCCTGCCATTCCAGGTTTGCTCACATGCGATGCAATGCGATGGGATGCGATGCGAGTGTCAAGTCAAGCTGGGAAGGTTTGAGAGTTTCACACCAGAGAGCAGGGACAAGGATCCGGGGTGATAATGCATGCATCTGAGTCTCTGAGAAAGGCAGGTGCTGCTGCTGAGCCATTTCACATCATGAATGCACACAGAATTGCCTCCCTCTCTTTCTCTCCACCCCTTTCCCCTACTCTTTTTTCCCATCTGCCTCGCACCTCCTCCCTCTCTGCCCTCCGCATCCTCTCCCTCCGTACTCTCCCACACCAGTGGCGGAATCAGTGTGAACGTGCGCCTAGCGCTGCCTGCCGAGATCGCCTCAGTGAGAGCAATCCTGGCAAAGCTACCAGCACCTGCTCTCAACACCAGGGGCGCTGCTGCCGCCAGTGCCGGCGCCAGTGCCAACGCCTCTGCAGCAGGCTCTGCTGGGGCAGGTTCTGCTTCTGGGGGAGCATCCAGTGCCGCTGCTGCTGCTGCTGTGTCCTCGTCCCTGTCGCTGTCTTCCGGTGCGGCAGGGCCCGCGCATGGGAGCAAGGAGGGCAGTGGCGTTGCTGGTGGTGGTGGGGCGAGTGGTGGAGGGGAGAGGGTGATGGTGCGGTTTGAGGTGCGGGACACGGGCATAGGCATGGACGATGCTGGCAAGAGCAGGCTCTTCCGTGCCTTCTCCCAGGTCAGTCTCCGTTTGATCATGTTTCTCCCTGTTTCTCCCTGTTTCTTCCTGTTTCGTCCTCTTCCGTTCTGGCTTCAGAAAGCATGTTCTCATCGCACCTCACCCCTTCCTCCACCCTACCTCATTGTCCTCCAACCCGCCTTCCCTTTCCCTTCCCTCCACCCCCCTAACACCCTGCACACACTCACTCAATCCACCTCCCCAGGCGGACAACTCAACGAGCCGCAAGTACGGCGGCACGGGGCTGGGGCTGGCGATCTGCAAGAGCCTGTGCAACCTGATGGGCGGGGACATCGGGCTGGAGAGCAAGGTGGGGCAGGGCTCCGTCTTCTTCTTCTTCGTGCACCTGCTCGTCGTGCCCGACCAGCCGAGAGCGGGCGGCGCTGCGTCGTTGGAGGCGGAGTCGGCGGAGGAAGGGCTGCTGTGGCGCCACCTGCAGAACATGAGGGTGCTCGTTGCTGAGGTGAGTCAGTTTGTTTACTGCTGCTGCTGTTGCTGCTGCTGTTGCTGCTGCTGTTGCTGTTGCTGTTGCTGTTGCTGCTGCTGTTGCTGCTGCTGTTGCTGCTGCTGTTGCTGCTGCTGTTGCTGCTGCTGTTGCTGCTGCTGTTGCTGTTGCTGTTGCTGTTGCTGCTGCTGTCGCTGTTGCTGTTGCTGTTGCTGTTGCTGTTGCTGTTGCTGTTGCTGTTGCTTTTGCTGTTGCTGTTGCTGTTGCTGTTGTGTCAACTGGAAAGGGGGTTGCTGGTCTGCTGTCTGCAAGCCAAGTTGAAGGTTTCTGAGAAACCTTGAGGTGTACACATGCATGTGTTGTGTTTTCATGCTACGTGGTGCAGTACCCACCTGCACCTTGAGTCCGCTTTCGAATCGACTCAAAGTGACTTATGAGTCGACTCAAGAGACGCGTGCATGTGATGTGTTTTCGTGCTACATGGTGCAGTATCTACCTGCAGCTTGAGTCCGCTTTCACCCTCTTTCCCTTGTCAGCAACCTTCCCTCCCCCCCATACTCCCCTCCCACATTCACGTGCACACCTATTCATACCTGACTGCACCCCTCAGGATAACAAAGTCAACCAGATGGTGGCGACGCGCATGCTGCACAACCTGGGCATCAAGTACGACCTCGTGGAGAACGGCCGACTCGCGCTCAGCGCGTGCGAGGCGCGCAAATACGAAGTCGTGCTCATGGTCAGATGCGCTGCGCTGCGTGGCGCTCGCTGCGGGGTTTTCTGGGGTGGGGTGGGGCGGGTGGGATGGGGTGGGAGGAGGTGGGCTTTTGTGTTGTCTGTTGGTGGGGAATGGCCATGGCATGGCATTCCTCCTTGCTGTGTGCCGCTTTGTTTGTTATCATCCCTGCCATTCTGCTGCAATGCATCCTGCGCTTCACCCCGCCCAGAAAACCCTGCAGAAAATCCCACATCCTAATGCTGCCTTCACTTCATTTGCTGCTCTTTCCACCAGCACCGCTTTCCTCCTCTCTCTCTCCTCCCCCCTCTCCCCGCTCCCCCCGGCTCCTCCCTGTGCAGGACTGCCACATGCCAGAGATGGACGTTGAGGCGACTCAGAAGATCTGCGAGATGGAGGTGGAGTGGGTGCGCGCATACAAGGACGCCAAGGCAGCCGCCAAGCTCCTGCAGCAGCAGAACCCGGGGAACCCCCTGCCGCGCCGCTTTTGAGTCCACTCAACTCAATACCAGGATCGGCTCCTAAAAAGCGGATTTCCTCCCCTCCCCCACCCCCCCCCCCTCACCTCCACCCGAACCCCCCCAATCCCCCCCCTGCAGGACTGCCACATGCCAGAGATGGACGGGTTTGAGGCGACTCAGAAGATCCGCGAGATGGAGGTGGAGCGGGTGCATGCATACAAGGAAGCCAAGGCCGCCGCCAAGCTCCTGCAGCAGCAGAACCCCGGGAACCCCCCGCCGCGCCGCCACCTCCCGCGCCCCCACCGCACCTTCATCATAGCGCTTACTGCAAGCGCTCTTAGCGAGGACAAGGAGAAGTGCATCGCAGCAGGCATGGATCACTACTTATCCAAGCCGATTCGTCCGAGGGATCTGGAGAGAGCGATCAGGGAGAGTGTGCTCGCATTGAAGGACCTCCATGCGGAGGAAGGGGCTGCGGCGGCGGCGGGAGGGGGCGGAAGCACGAGCGCGTCGGCTGCTGCAGCGGCGGCGGCGGCGTCGCGGTCGCGGAAGAGAATGGCTAAGCTGAGTCTTCAGCAGTCGCCGAATGTGGACATTTGGAGCGATATTGCGAGTGATTCTGACAGCAGCGGATTCTTCTCGGATGCTTCTGTCTCGTCGACGAGCATGAGGAGGTACGGAAGGGGAGGGGGAGGCGGGGGGAGAGGGGGGGGAGGGGGGCGGGACGGAGGAGGGGAGGGGTACAGCAGTGGCGGGGGGAGTGGGGGCGGCAGACACAAGCCTCCGTTGTCTTCCCCTCGGCGCATGAGACCTGTGCCGGAAGGGGTGGGTGCAGGCGCGGACGCAGGAGGCGGGGGAGGGGGAGGAGAAGGAGGAGGAGGAGCAGGGGGTGGTGCTGGCAGTGGCGGTGGTAGGAGTGGTAGTGGTGTTCGTAGTGGTGTGGGGAGTAGAGGCCATGCAGGAGGAGGAGGACGGGGGTTGAAGACAGAGAGTGAGGAAGAGGAGGAATTGGAAGAGGAAGAGGAGGAGGGTCGGTGGAGTGACAGGGGGGTGAGTGAGGGGTTGCGATCCCCAAGGTCCCCTAGGGCAGGCAGCAGCTGCAGTGGCAGCAGCAGCACGAGTGGTTCGGAAGGGAGGAGAGCAGTGGGGAAAGGAGGAGGATCAGGAGCAAGAGGGGGAGCCGCAGCACAGAGGCAACAACAAGGCTATGATGGGCAGATGTCTCCTCGCAGTCCCAGGAGACAGGCAGGGGTAGTGGCAGCGGCAGCAGGAGCAGGGGACTTGGGAGGGCCTTCTATTCAGTTGAATATCGGGGCAAGCAGCAGTGGGCAGGGCGGCAGTGGCGGTGGGGGGGTGAAGAAGCATGGTGTGAGGGAGGCAGATGGGGTGAGGCCGCCACTGTCTCCGAGGAGTAGAGGCATGAATCTGACTGCTGCCTCTGCTGCCCGTGCTGCTGCTTCTGGTGGTCTTGCTGGTGCTGCTGGTGGTGGAGCTGGTGGCGGTGGCAGTGGTGGGTTTGGATGGAGTGAGCATGGGGAGGAGGCAGCGGAGGAGGAGGAGGAGCATCTGTACCTGGGGCAGCAGGATGGGGGGCTAACAAGCGACGACGGCAGCACAGGGAGTGCACCCACCATGGAGGAAATCTGGTCCAAGATCAGCGGCGGAGGTGGAGGGGGAGGAGGGGGGGTTGGAGTGGGTGGGCAAGGAAAAGGCAGTGGCGGAGGGGGAGGGGGGGGCAGCACAGGAATCAGTGGGGGGATTGGAGGTACAGGGGCGGGAGGGAGAGCAGTAGGATCTGCTACTGCCACACGATCGCATTCAGCTGCAGTGCCCATGCTAGGCCTATCCCCCACGTTCGCCCGCCCCTCCAGTCCTCCCAGTATTACTGCTGCTGTTGACTCCATTTCCCCACGCACCCGCCCCTCGCCTTCCCCGACCCGTCGGCGCTCCCTCGGGGGACCAATTGGGCGGTCCCATGCAGGGGCAGGAGGAGGGGGGAGCGGAGGGGAGGGGCGGGCGGGTGGGAGAGGCGCAGAGGGAGGATTTGGAGATGGGAGTGGTTTTGAGACAGAGGGCGCCGACGGGTTTGCTTTCAGCATTGGGTCTCCCTCGCCCGCTCCTTTAAGCCCTGAACGCCCAGTCAAGGCAGCAGCAGGAGGAGCAGGAGGAGCAGCAGGGAGTGGCGGTTTTCCTATCAGTGTATCTGCAGGGTCAGCCTTCCCCAGCTCGGTGTCTGCAGCAGTTGTGACCTCCTCCTCCAGCGGTGGGCTGCTGTTGAGCCCTCGCATGGACTCGCGCCTGCCCCGGCCTGATGACCACCGGCGACGCAGGAGAGACAAGGGGGGCGCCATAGAGGCAGGCCACCCAGGAGCACCAGCACCAGCAACAGGAGTAGCAGGAGTCGCAATAGGAGCAGGAGGAGGGGGAGCAGCAGGGCCAGGAGGGGGTTCTTGCTCTAGTGGGACGGGTGTAGGGGCAGCAGTTGGGGGTGTGGTGGGCGGTGGGGCAGGTGATGCAAGGGGCAGGTCTCCCCTGCGCTCCCCTGCCCGCGCCAGGCCCACAACACACCCAGCCACGGCTGCTGGCGGTGGCGGTGCTTCGGGTACCTCTGCTGGTTCCATGTCCGGGCATGCATCTGGAAGCGATGGGGCATTAGACAGAGAGCGAGACCACCCCCATCCCCATCCCCACCCGCACCCTCACTCCCATCCGCACCCGCATCCCCATGGCCATTCCCATTCCCACTCCCCTCACCAGCACCCATCAATCCCGCACGCTGCTACTACCTCCATCCCTCGTGGCCCCCTGCACCAGTCTGCTGGCCTGCGCCGCTCCCTCACTCCCGAGGGGGGCGATTACCCCGGTTCCTCACTCCTCTCCCGCCTCACCAATCTCACTGCTAGTGGGGACAGCACAGGGGCAGGAGGAGCGGGAGGAGGAGGAGGAGGTGGAGGTGGTGTGGGGCAGAGTAGAGGAGGTGGAGAGGGAGGGCTGGGATCCAGACACATACTTGCAGACCCACACAGTCATGGGAGGTTGGGAGGAGGCGGAGGGAGCGGGGGCAGTGCTGGCGGAGGGGCAGGAGGAGGAGGGATTGGTTACGGGGTGGGAATGGGTGCGGGAATGGGAGGCAGAGGCGGGGCGGGGGCGCCCTCCCCATTGTGGCGCAGTGCGAGTCTGGAGCCGCCCAAAAGGCAGATCCGCACGGGCGCACAGCAGAAGGAGGCGCAGGATCTTCGCATGTGGATAGACCGTGCCACCACCTCCAAGCTGGACCTGTGGATCGACCAGGTGGTGAGTGGGGGCGCAAGCAGCCCCAGTGGAAGCAGCGCAAGCGGCAGTGGGAGCGGGAGTGGATTTGGAGGAGGGGGAGGGGGAGGGGGAGGTGGAGGGGGGGGATAGGGCGGAGCTCCCTGGGGCTTGTAGACCGGCCAATGACAGCTGGAGGTACCAGCCCGAGCAGCAACATCACTGGCGCCACTGCTTCCTCTGCAGCTGCTGCTGGTGGTAGGGTGTCTTCTAGGGTGGCAGCTGGTAGCACAGAGCCCTTGCACTTGCGGTTGCAGGCTCTGAAGCAGCAGGAAGGAGGGGGGGGTGGCGGAGGGGGAGGCGGAGGAGGAGGGGGAGGGGGAGGGGGAGGGGGGGCGGACAGCAGCAGTACAGGGGAGCAGGGGGAGGCAGCAGGGGAGGGGGGGGTTAGGGTCGCCGGGGGGGAGCCCTGGAGAGAGTCCAAAAGGGGCTGGCGGTGGACCACCACAGCGAAGAAGCTCTTCCTCGGGCCACTGAATGTATAAGACCTGCAGATTGGGATGAAATGACATGTGACGCGTGGTTGAGTCGTGAGCCGCCTGTCTCAAGACGCGTGGGCTTTAGGCGGTGGGAGTTGATGTGTGGAAGAGTGCTATCTTATTGGATGGCTTGTATTGTCACCGGCCACATAAGTTTCGGGTGAATGGCTATTGGTCATTTATTGCTTCGTATATCCAAGCGTGGTGGTTAATTGTGGAGCCACCATGATGTTTCAACTCCCAGAGGTACCTGATACGAGATGTGATGCGCTATGAGCTTGAAGTTGAAATTTAAGCCATCGTATGTAAGTGTAACAGCTGCACCTACACTTCCAGATTTATCCTTTCCCCTGCACCAGCAGCCTTTCGGCTGTCCGCTTTCAATTCTGCCACAAACCGAGGGGAATCAAACCGACGTGAACCCAACTGAACCTGCTGCTGCCTGTAATCCAGAATCTCTCTGTTGACAACCGTGCCCTAACTGCGGCCTCCTAGTTCCACTGCCACGTCGTCACGCGCTTCCTTTAGCGTTTCCGCTAGTTAGGCTACTAAATCTTTCGCGAGCATCTTTATTCGCGGAATCTTCTCCGCCTGACCACCGTCTCTCTGACAAGCCACATCCTCCCGTTTTCTCTCCTCTCTCCCTCTCTCCTCCTCTCTCTCTCTCTCTCTCTATCGCTATTCGGTCCCGTGTTTGCTTCTCCTCGATCGGACTTCCTGCGTCGCGATTCTCGCGTGTCTAGTCTTGCTCTAATCTATCGTCACCTTGA